AGAAAGAGCAGTCTGCGCTCGAGGTCATCGTCGCCAAGATCAGGGCCAATCTGGAGGAGCGTGCCCGTTTCAAGCAGAACCTCAGAGAGCTGGAGGAGCGCGGCAAGAACGACACCCACCTCTCGCAAAAGAAGCTGAAGAGCATTCACGAGTACGGACCTATCTATCCTCAACCGGTGTGTTGCGTGTTTGTCGCGCGTGTCGCGCTGTCGGGAGTGAAACCGCTAACACGCCCTCTCCCCGATTCTGCGCAGCTGGGAAACGAACCCCAACAGAGGAACCACTGGTGTGTTCACGCCGCCTCAGATCTCCAAGATGAGGGAAGAAGTGCGCACCATCCAGCACAACAAAAACGAGCGCAGCGTCATCAAGAAGAACGTCCAGAAGAAGCTCGACCTCAACATCGCCGCCTACCAGCAGTTCCAGCTGGAGATCGGCAAGGTCATCACATCGGCCCATCGCCGCCAGCTGTTGGAGCAGGAGGAGAAGATCCACCTGCTCCACATGGAAAAGAAGGACGTTTCGGGCGAGAAGGATCTCCTCCAGCGCGAGACCGAGCACCAGGCGGAGAAGATCGCCCAGTTGGAGGCCTTGCTCAAGGAGCAGTCCCTCCTCCTCAAAGGTAAGCGCCCGCGTGTCTAGTCTTTCTTACTCCCTTCTCCAGCGATCTCTCTTGTCTCTTGGGGTTCAATTTTTTGTCCACGCACGCGTGCTCTCATCATTCTTCTAGGACGGGGACTCATGTCGGAACAGCTCTCGCGCCAGTACACCTCCACCACCGGCGAGATCCTCTTCACTCCGCGAAGGCAGTCATCTCCCGGATCGGCCAGCATGGCGCGATACAGCCCCTTCACTCGCAACCGCACGCCGATGTCGCTCCCTCGAACGCGCCCCATCTTCGATGAGGAATCGGAGACCACCGACATGTTCCTACGGGCATCGCCGCGCGATAGCGAGGATTCGTCTGCGGGCGATGACGTGCAGGGTGTTGTTCGCGGTCTCGCTCGGGTCCAGCTTTCGCAGCAGCAGCAGAAGGAGCCCCAGAGCGACGACCTCGATGACCTCGAGCCCTTCGCCGAGCCCACCAAGGCCCAGCGACCTCAGCCGACCCACACTGCTGCTGGCGGTTCTGCTGCCCCGTTCGTTGCCAAGTCGCCGTTCCGCTCGCCCGCTCGTCGCCGTCCGCGTCGCCTGCGCTCGATTCTGAAGAAGCCGGCCGACGACAACGGGTCAGCTGCGAAGAAGATGGTTTCCTTCAGCGGAGTTCCTGACTCCAGCTCGCCTGTAGCAGGCCCTGTACGCGCTACCTCCCAGCTCTCCGTTCTCCCTCTCCCTCTGCTGGCCACCCCATCTTTTGAGCCGAGCTGAATGGCTGACCTTCCACACACAGGTGCGAGTGCCTGTGCGAATGCCTAAGTCGCCTGCACCGGACCGGGGCGCGGCTGCAGTACCGTTCTCGCCCCTTTCGGCGCCCGCCGAGCGCCATCTGCAGCCCACCTTCAGCTTGAACACGAGCGTCGACGAGGTACCTCAGCCTCCCAACCTTCCCCCTTCTCCTCCAACGCCCTTCTACCTGTTTCATCAGAGATCAGCGGCGTGGGCTAAGATTCGTTCTCTCTTTACTTCTCTTCAGGCACCGGCTTCAGAAGCCCCGAAGACGAGGCGAAAGAGGCCCACGTTGCCCACGCCGCAGGTTCCCCCAGTCGTCACAGCCCAGTCGCTTCTCGACCGAGTCGGCTCGAGCGCCGCCACCAAGGTGCGCCGACCGCGGCCTGTGGGCGAGGGGCTGTCGCGCGTGATGGCGCCCACCCAGGCCAGCCTCCAGCGAAGCAACAAGCGCAAGAGCCAGCAGGTGGACTCCATCACCATGTCCGCCCCGAGCGAGCACCGGCGACTCAGCAAAGAGCGGAAGACCGACAGCGCCAGCTCCACGAAGGAGAACACCGCGAACAACAGCCAACTCTCGGCCTCACGACTCGACATATCCGCGACCGCCGCCGCCCTCAAGAAGCCCAAGGCCTCTGCCCTCTCGAAGCCTCCCACTCGCGTTCCGCTCGTCTCGAGCTCCGAAGGCGTCAAGTCCGGCTGAAGACCCGGCCAAAGGAGAACCCCAGCAGCAACTGGGCAAGAGCGTGCATGTACAGTCTGTGGCTCGCGACCCAGGGCTAGCTGTGGTGGTGGTGGTCGTGGTGTGGTCGTGGTCGTGGTTGTGGTGTGAACCAGCGCCGCGACCGGAGAGAAGAAGAAGAAACACAGAAGGACGGCGAGGGTTGGCCCCTCACCGGTGTGTGGAAAACATGTACCACAAAAACCAAGGAATTTAAAAAAAGTTAAAAAAACATAAAAACATAAAACAAAACAAAACAACAAAGCTGGCGGCGAGAAGAAGATGCTGGGCCTTGTGCGCAGTGCGGCGGAGGAGGACCCGCGGCTGAAGCGGAAGGCAGAGTTTATGGCACGCACCGACGCGACTACGGCTACGGCGCTCGATTAGATCGCCTCCGGTCGACCCACTTCTCTCGTCTTCGCGGTATCCCCCCCCCCCATATCCATGCTCTCCGCTTCCTGCACTCTGCCGCCTGTTGTGGTCGCTCACACGGGCGGCACGCGGTTCGCGGCGGAGGTGCAGGGTCGGTGTATCTGGACCACGCCGGAGCCACGCTGTACTCGGAGCAGCAGCTGCGAGCAGTCACAGAGCACCTCGCGCAGACCCTCTACGGCAATCCTCGTACGCCCTATCTCCTCTTCATGCGCTGCCGCTCTCGCCTCTTGCCGGCACACGTTCGTTCGCCCAACCTCACATGGAGCACGCGCGTGTGTGTGTGGCGAGAGTAGACAGCCAGAGCCCGAGTAGTGCCAACGCCACCAAGATGGTGGCCGCGGTGCGGCAGCAGATATTGGATTTCTTCAACGCTTCGGCCAAGGACTACTCGGTGGTGTTCACCGGTGGCGCCACGGCTGGTCTTAAGCTGGTACATACATCCGCCTGCACGTCCACTCAGCGTACAGTTGCCTAGTGGGAGGTGCGACAGTGACCTGCAACGCGGTGTTACTTCCTGTCGTGACCACCAGGTGGGTGAGTGCTTCCCGTGGACTTCGGAGAGCGAGTTCCGCTACGCGCTCAAGTCTCACAACTCGGTGGTGGGCATTCGCGAGTAGGCTGCTCACTCATCTTGGCGGCTGAAGTGAGTACTTTCTTGTCTGACCACCGTGCATGCACGTCGTCAACGACAGGTATGCTCTGGAAAAGGGGGCCTCGTTCAAGGTGGTTGAAATGGAAGAGGAGGAGGAGGAATGGCGAAAGCATGGCGACACAGGCGACCGGGGAACGCAGGACAACAGCAGCGCGCG